GGTCATCATGAACCCCCGCTTCTGTGCCCTGCTGGTTCTAATCTCTCTGCTCATCAGCACTGTGGATGCCCTGGTACACACTCTGATGTTGCTGCATCTGTCTTTCTGCAAACATCTGCAGATCCCCCACTTCTTCTGTGAACTAACTCAGATCATCAGGATGGCCTGTTCTGATGCTCTCATCAATAACATTGTTGAATTTTTAGCAACCATCTTCTTGGGTATTGCTCCTCTCTCCGGGATAATTTTCTCTTATGCTCAAATTGTCTCTTCCATCTTCAGAATCCCATCAACTGATAGAAAATATAAAGCTTTTTCTACCTGTGGGTCTCACCTGTCAGTGGTTTCCTTGTTCTATGGGACTTGTATTGGGGTTTATCTTAGTTCTGCTGTTACTGATTCTCCCAGAATGAGTGCCATGGCCTCGGTGATGTACACTGTGGTCACTCCCATGCTGAACCCCTTCATTTACAGCCTGAGGAACAAGGACATGAAGGGAGCCTTGAGAAAACTCACCTTGGGGACATTTTTATTGTTGTGACCCTGTTAAGTTTCCTGAGTGTGGGTTTCTTCAGGCAAAGAGAATGAAATATTGGGTCTCTATCATGGTTTAAATATGAGATGTTCCTATAAAAGCTCATGTAGCAATTTAGGCATATTCAGGGGTGAAATGATTAGATAATAAATCAGTGGGTTAATCCTTATTTGGAATTAATAATTTCAATGTATTAGTGGATGGTAACTATAGGCAAGTGCTAATAGCTAGAGGAAGTAGAACACTCAGGAGATGCCCTTGGAGACTCTATTTTCTCTCTGGTTCCTAGTTCTCTCAGTCTCTCTGTTTCCTGCCTTTCATAAGCTAAAGAGCTTTTGTATGCCACACACTTCTGCCATTATTTCTTCATCTCTGGGGCCCATTAATGAAGTGGGCCAACCATGGACTGGACATCTGACACCATGAAGCCAAAATAAACTTTTTCTCTTCTATGTTCTTCTTCTCACATATTTTAGTCACAGCAATGAAAAGGAGACCAATACAACAGGCAGGAAATCTTGAATCTTCCTTAATTCAGTTTTTCTTGCAAAAAAATGGAGAAACACAAGCTTTCAAGAAAGTGTCTTTGTATGGAATCCTAAGAACTGTAGTTCTTACTAGCAGTTAATATGTTTTGCTCCATGTCACAGACAAACTAATTTCAACTCTTGGTTCAATTTCTACGTCTATCATAAGCTCAGACAAATGTCACACACTTAGTAATCATTTAGGAATATATTTGTCTTATAGAAATATGTGAATTTTTCCAAATATCACAATGTTTATGGATATATATATATCAGGGCATGGACATGACTTAATAAATTAAGTAGATTTAATTTCAGTACTATAATAAAGGGACCAATTCAAATTCTCACCATTTGCTTCACACCCACAAAAACCACTTTAAGGGCATTGAGAGGTTTTAAAATGTATACAAAAAATTGGTTGCATTGAGCGAGTAATATTAAACAAGTAGTTACTTTATCAACAATCTTGTATTAGTAAAATCATAGTAGACGCGTTCTTGGTTCTACATTAATTGTTAATGTAACTTTATTGACAAATGTGGTTCTGGGGAATGAACCCAGGCCCTGCAAATGTAAGCCCCACTTACACTTCATCACTTCTCACTTCATACCTTTCCCTTCTAGTGATTGTCAACTTCCTCTTGATTTTGACCTGCTTTCTACCAGAATGTCTAGAGATAAATGCATTTGGGAAAAAAAATCCATGGTTATTTCTTATATAATAGGTATATTATGTAGAAATGCATTTCCCATATCCAAACACATGGAGGGTTCCTAGTCATGCCATTGGGACTTATTTTCACCTTGTTGCATTGTGGTTGTAGAACGTATTCTCCCTGTAATTTTAATTCTTTTAATTTAAAAAATGGCCTTAATTCTCACTGTTGTCAAATGATTACATGTTCCAACTGTAGTGATGAAATAAATGTGCATTCTTTGATGGGTGTGTGTGTGTGTGTGTGTGTGTGTGTGTGTGTGTGTGTGTGAGAGAGAGAGAGAGAGAGAGAGAGAGAGAGAGAGAGAGAGAGAGATTCCTGGGACTGAAAGCAGGGGTGCTCCACCACTGAGCTCCACTCCCAGAACTTTTTATTTTTATTTATTTATTTATTTATTTTGGGGGACAGAGTCTCCCTAAATTACTGAGGCTGACCTTGAATTTGGAATCCCCTTGCTTCAGATTCCCAAATAGCTGAGGTTACAAAATATGTGTATTTGGGCTGGGGATATAGCTCAGTTGGTAGAGTGCTTGCCTTGCATGCATAGGGCCCTGGGTTCAAGCCACAGTACCACAAAAAAAAATGTGTATTCTACAGTTATTGAAAGCATCATTCTCTGCATGTCCAATCAGTCCAACTTGGTAATCATGTTCAAATCTGGGTAAAACTTTCTGATTCTGCTCGTCTCCTTGTTGTACAATCATGATGAGATGGGTGGTAAATTCACTCAGTGTGATATTGATTTGTCTGCTTATGCTTGTAATTTCATCAGATGACTCTTAAGTGACTGCAGGTTCAAAATTTCACCTCTTCCTAGTGCATCAGATTTCTCATGTTTACGAAATCACTTTAGTTATCTCTGAGCCTCCTTTGCATTAAGGTCTGCTCTCTTTGACAGGAACACAGTGCAGTTACACAAGGCTTTTCTGAGTTCTCCAGATGAGGGGAAGCCTGGGTGTAGTTCTTACTAGCAGTTAGTTTATTTCCCATTCTCCCTCATTTCTAAGGCCATCCCTTTGCACTACCAGAACAAATAGAAAAGCCCTTTATTCTCGGCCTTCACTCCTGACTCTGCAGATACCCACAGCTCACATCTGTATCTCCCAGACCCCTTCATTGGTAAGATCCGTTCTAGTGCCTGACTCAAGCTTCTGGAGCCCTTGTCTATATACAGTGATTTATTTTATGTTCCTTTATTTGAATATAGTTTTAATTTTAATTAAAGGATTTTTAGCTCCTGTGCTATAAATGGGGAAGCAGAGACATGGAGAGGGTAAGTAATGTCCCCAAATTTTGCACAGGAGACTTCTGGATACAAACCACCCAAAGTTCACACTGTACCCACCATGAATGATTCTGCTTGAAGGATTCTCCCAGGAAGACTGCAGTGGCTTCAGTGATGTGCACTGTGGTCACCCCTATGCTGAACCCCTTCATCTACAGCCTGAGCAACAAGGACATGAAGGGCGCCTTGAGAAAACTCATTTAAGGAATATTTTCCTTTTGTGATTCTGTCAACTGCCCTCAGTATGAACTTCTAGAATGAGTCAAAGAGGATGAAATATTGGCTGCACCAGAAATCCTGACTTTACTTGTTCTTTTCTTTTTCAGTACTAGAGATTGACTCCAGGAGTGTTCTACCACCAAACTATATCCTTATCCCTTTGTATTTTTTATTTTGAGACAAGAGTGTCACTAAATTGCCTATGCTGCCCTCAAACCTGTGATTCTCCAGCCTCAATTTCTTGAGGTGATGGAATTACAGGCTTGGGCCACCGTAGGAGGCCTGACTCTATCTTGGTGCAATTCTCTGAGCAAAGTGGTTAATTATGGACTTTCAAGACAAACAGCGTTGTATTGACCCTGCTTTTGTGTGTTTCCCTCCATTTCACATACCAACTAACTTACTTTGAGTTCAGTTTCTGCATCCATAAAATGGGCAAAGTAATATAGTGCAAGCAAATAGTGATTTGGGGAATGTGTCAACTATATTGGGATGTATGTGATAATTCAAAACATTTGTATACATAGAATTTTGACTGTCTGACGTACCAGTAAAATGAGCATCAGGTGTGTAGCACACATTAATCAACTTGTATTGAACACTTCCACATTAATCACTGGTTGTTTTTTGTTAGTTTATTTTGTTTTGTTTTGTTTCTCTCTTACTTGGGATCAACTCCATGACTGCTCATGCTTGGAAAGTTCTCTATCACTGAGGTCACCACCAATCCACCACGTTAATTATTAATTAAATCAGTTCTTACTGCACCCTGTTCCCTTTGAGGGTGGAGATCCTCTTTGTTTTGTCCTCAGTACTTCCAGAATCCATACATATAAATGAATTTAAGCAAAGTCCATTTAGAGTTTTACATAATACATGTGCTAAGTAGAAATTCAGCAGAAATGCATTTCTTTCTTTTCTTTTTCTTTTTTTTTTCTTTTTGTTCTCTCCTGGTATTGAGGATTGGACCCAAGGATGCTTTATCACTGAGCTATGTCCCAAACCCTTTTATTTCTTTATTTGAGTTGGTCTCACTAAGTTGCCCAGGCTGGTCTGTAACCTTGGACCCTCATGCATCTGCCTGCCAAGCATCTGGAATTACCAGTGTGTAGCACTGTGCCCAACTAGAAATGCACTTCTTAATATGGGAGACCTCTTATTATGTTTTGGTGGTTCATTTGTAGCCCAGTTACATTGTGGTCATATTCTTTATATAATTTCAACAGTTTGAAATTAAATGTTTGTCTTACATGGCATTTGTGGTCAAATTTAGTAAATGTGCTAAAACATAAATGTGCATTCTATAATTATTGATTGCATATTTCTATATATGTCCAATAAATCAAGTTTTTAATCATGTTAAAATCTTATGGATTTTTGCTGATTTTGTTGTTTGTTGGTCTCCTTTTTGTATAAATCATGGAGGAATACATGTTAAAGTCACAGAATGTGGTTTTTAAGTTTCTATTTTGCTTTCAATTCATTCAAAGGACCAGGCCCTTCCTGCCCAGATTACTCAGCAGGCCCTTCTGCCCCTCACCTTTTGGGTCTCCCCACCTACATTCTATCACTGCAAGATAACAGAACAAAGGACAGGAAGCTGACAGAAATGTGGGAAAGCTGAAGGAAGACCTTGGCTATGAAGAGGGGAGACATCGCCCTTCCACGGATTCCACCTCTTGGGTCCCCTTCTTCCTCTGGGAGAAGTCTTTTCTGCTGTCCTTTAATGAAGCTTCTACTTTCCACTCTACACTTGCCTCGGCGTGCTTCTCTGGTGTTGTACTTCAGCATTGGGGAAGCACGGACTTGTCACCTGTAAACAACAGTAACACCATGGCATGAGTTTCCGAACCTGGGTTTGGTAATAAGAATACAATCCAGTTGCTACTGATCCTGGGTCTCCAGGATTGCAATTCCCAAAAGACACTGAATAAATGTCTTCTCTCAAGCCTACTTATTGGTTTTGTTTCAGGTTTTTGGAGAATTTCTGAGCAGTGATTTTGTGATCATTGCCATGTGCTAGATACTTGGAAATTTCAATGTACTAATAAAGTGAAGTTGCTGGGCAGGCCGCATCAGTACCACCTGGGCTTGTTTGAAATGCAGACTCTTTGACCCTACCCCAGACTTGCTGAATCAAGTTGCTGGGCTGGGGATACAGTTCAGTAGTAGAGCATTTGCTTAGCATGCATGAAGCCCTGGATTCAATCCCCAACACCACATACACAAACACACACGTGTAGCTCAGAGGTAGAGTATTCCTGGGTTCAATCCCCAGTACTGTGTAAAAGAGCATGTGCTATTTGAGATTGAGAAAGTTTTGAAGGAAATTGGTTTGCTGCATTTTAACAGATCTATAAAATATGCAAGTGGCAAATGTCTCAGGCAGTATGCAATTTAGAATTGTGGACAGTATGAACAGTTAAAACAGTGAGATTCACTGCTACCATAGAGTGAATGATTGATTATAGGACGAGAAGGTGGCTGAGGACTGAGCCCTGGTGCAGCCAGACAACTACAACTTGGGAAAGCTGCTAGAGGGTGAGACACCACTTGGGCAGCTCCGCCAAATCCGTTAAAGCTTGTGAACTACATTTCCCAGAATCGCCTCTGTCCGCGCTTCCTGGCTAGAAGCGGCCAATGAGGTACCGCGAGATTTGGAAGGCGGAAGTGAAGCGGAAGCCATTACTCTCGAGAGGCGATTACTGTAAGACACATGGGCAAAGGAGAGGTCTGCGGCTTCTCCCTTCGACCTGTTGGGGACCCTCGACTTCCTTACAGCATATGGAGCCTGTCATATGAACTTAGTCTCCGGCGGCGGCTTCCGAGACCTCCGCTCCCTCGATTGTACCCCAGCCCTGTAAGCCCGGTTTTCATCACTAATCCTTCCACCCCCCGCCTTCCTCAGGACCCGAGAGGCCCCGGAAGCGGGGGACCAGGGGCAGGAATGAGGGGGCCGGGAGGCCGGGCAGGCACGCGAGGAGTGCCTCTTAGGTGGCACGGTTGGTCGGGGTGAGAGGCTGCGGGTGCTGGAGCGGAAGTCCACAGCCTTTGAGTGACGGCGGAGGTGCTGGGAACCTGGTTAGGAATGGAGCCTTGGAGGTGGGGCCGGCGACAGACCGTCGGTTTTGCTTCTATTCTTACGGGCACGCTGCTTTTCGATGTTGTTTGCATTTGACTTGAATAGTACCTTGTATGTATCAAGTCTCCGGTGCACCTATTTTAGTTGTCATTCTTGTGTCAGTGGCCTACAGGTAGCTTTAAAATTCCGTCTCACATCCGGTTTTTTAACTTTTCGAGAAGAGTTAAGTCTATTAATACTAGCGATGGTTACTAATATTTTGCATTGAATTCTGCCATCTTATGTTGTGTTGATTAACCTTTTACTTTCAAATACTTGCACATTAAAAAGCAGGGCATATACCCCACCCGCAGCCCCGAAGAAGAAAGAAAAAATGTGAAAACACACACACAAACTTAGAATTGAAAGTTTGAGAATTGAAATTGAACGCGAATTCCTCAAACTAGGCTGAGAAAGAGGTTATTTAACCTCAGAACTGAGTGCTTCTATACCGCATCCTCATCTTCCCCATGGCTTTCTTAGTTACTTTCTTTTTTTCTTCTTTTTACTGTGCTAGTCAAGAGCTCTGCCACTGAGGTACTTGCTCATCCCTTTGTGGTGGTTAATTTTATTCTTGAGACAGGGCCTCCAAGTCGCCCAGGCGGCTTCCAACTTGTGATCATCCCAACTCAGCCTCCTGAATAGTGTAGTGCACCCAACTCCTCCAGGATTTTCTTTATGAATTTTACTGTTTATATATGCTTTCTCAAAAATATGTTTGTTTGTTTTTAGGGGCGGTACTGGTGATTGAACTCAAGGGCACTCAACCACTGAGCCACATCCACAGCCCTAGTTTGTATTTTAGTTAGAGACCGGGTCTTACTGAATTGCTTAGCAATTGCCGAGGCTGGCTGTGAACTCGGGATCCTCCTGCCTCAGCCTCCCAAACCCCTGGGATTACAGGCCTGTTCCTGTAAATACAAAAATGTATTTGTTAATTTTGGTAATTATTAGTGAATAGACTCACATGCTTAAGTACTTTCATAGATATCCTTTTTTTCCATATTGCTGCAAGTACACATCCATGATTTAGCGATTTCTAAATAACTTACAGGTGAAGTGCTTAACTTTTAGCAATTATTTTTAGGAACATCATAGCTTACATTTGAAAATAATTTTGCCAAATTCCACAAACTGGGCTTTAATTTGAATTTATATTTAAATTTTGAGAATATTGGCATTTTCAAAGGATATTTATTAATTGGGCACTAGGCATTGAACACAAGGGTGCTCTAACACTGAGCTACATCCCCACCCCTTTTTAAATTTTTTAAAAAATTTTGAGGCAGGGTCTTGCTTAGTTGCTTAGGCTGATCTTCAACTTGCAATCCTCCTGTCTCAGCTTCTGGAGTAGTTGGGATTATAGGCGTGAGCCACTGAGCCTGGCTCCTAACTGTCTTCATACTCTTCATCTTTCTGTGCTGCCCCAATGTTCTTTTGAAGAACTACTTTCTAAACTTAAGCATGCATAGTGTCACCTATAGAGCTTGTTAAAGCACCAATTCTTAGGCCCACTCCACCAAGTCTTAGTTGGACTGGCATATGATCTGGTATCAGAATTATTACATTACCCTGAGCGATGTTTGTGCCCTGGCCTGCAGACTACACTTTGGGTCATACCTAGGAAACAAAATCCATTTCTTTGGTTGTGTATAATCCAGAGTTCTTCATTTAGGGTAGTTTGTTGTGGTCATGGAGATGATGGTGGTGGTGGTTTTCTATTTTGCTTTTATTTCAACAATTGAATTTGGTGTTTTAGAAAAATTACCTTACTTATTTGTTTGTTTACAGTGCTGGGGCTTGAGCCCAGGGCCTTATGTGCACTAGGCAAGTATTTTACCTTGAGTTACATCCTCAGCCCCTAAATTACAATTTTTAAAATTACTGTATGTTTATTTGTTGTCAGCCCATGAGTAGTTTTGAAGATAGTAAATTTCTATATTTTGTATTGCTTTGTTTTTGGCACCAATGATTGAACTCAGGGCACTTATCCACAGAGCCACATCCCCAGCCCCTTTTTATTTATTTATTTATTTATTTTTTTGAGACAGGGTCTCCCTAAGTTGCTGAGGTTGGCTTTGCACTTGGCAATCAATCCTCCTGCCTCAGCCTCCAGAACCCCTGGGATTACAGGCCTGGCCACCACACCTAACTGTTGCTTTTTTAAAACAGGTTGAGTGGAGGGTTTGGTTAGGGTGCCTATATTACATGTTGGAAACAAATCTGACCCTACCTTCTTAGCTCCTGCAACATTTTATCTAGTTGGTTGAAAGCTTAAAGATGGTGGAGTATACATAGATATGTTGAATTCCTAGTGCAGCATACTTCTGGACTGAGAAAACAATAGTTGTATGATGTTCTCACCATATTTGTTGCTTTGTGTGTGTTTGCTTGCCTGGATAACACTGGTAGAAATAGTTGTGGCAAGGGCAAACATTAGTAAAATAATTTGTGCCTGTAGTGTTTGCATAAGTTAATTCTGAATGTCCTGGTGCAGCATTGTAAAGTTGAATATAGAGATAAAGTTATATTGGAAGAATTATAGCCACAAAAGAAAACTCACATTGGATTCATCTGAAAGGGCAAAATTAACCTTAGACTGTAACTAGATGGAAGAGGCAGATCTGTCATTGTGAGAAGTGTGGCTGGGCCTCAATGGGACATGGGAGGTTCCTGGGGTGCTGATTCAATAAGGCACTCACCCTTGGTGCCAACTCTGTGTTCACGTGAAGCTGAAAGCACTGTCTTGAATTATGTGCCCTGGCACCTTGTAGCCCCCGGAGTCCTGTCCCTGATCCTCTTAAGGGTAGAGTAAGATTTGTGGAAATGGTGTAGTAGAGCTGCTTTTACTGCATCATGAAGAGCTGAGGGAGAAGTTAAACGACTCATTAACTCTGCAAAAGTAATCTCCATTCTCACTTACCCTTATGATGTCGTTCTGATTTTCATTGTTTTGTGTGTCTCGTAGAAAACTTCTGAGTTCATGGACTTACACTTCTTCCTATATACCTGTGCTCCAGCCAGTCTTCCTGCTGTGCCTCTATATTCGGGGGCCACCGATTCTTGGTGACTCTCATTGAGCACTGATAAGCCGTGAAAGTGGTACAGTCATTGAGGTGAGAAATGGCCCAGAATTTCTGCTCTGACAGTGAAAGGGTCCCACAGGCCTGAGTTTGATGGGGATCACTCTCTAAGCCTGAGCCACCTGAGCACTTTGCCCCACGTGGAAAGTGTAGATGACGGGGCTCCAGGTCCTGGCCTCAGCCAGTGGCTGTGTCTTAGCCACTTGGTAGCCTTTCTCTTCACAGGGGAGAGTGGATATTTGGTTGGATATTCAGAGACTCCAGTCTCGAATTTCATGATTTCTTCCTCTGTGTTATTGTCAAGGTTATGCCAGCTTTTACTTGATTAATTTTTAGGTACTTTATGTGTGCTAAAAGAATGTGTGTAAATTTTCTTTATGTAGCATACAGAAAATTGATTTTTAGTCTTCATTCTCCAGTTCTTTGCCAAGGTATGTTTTTTTCTGTATACGATTGTTGTGGAGTGAACTCCAAGATTATTTGCTGAAAGTAAGAGTGATGGTGAGGGAGATTTCTGACTCAGAAACACTGGTGAGACTTTCTTGGTCTCTGGGAGACTGGAAGGTGGGATGGCCTAGTTCGCTTATTTAGTATAGGTGTCCTTTGGGGGTTTGCAACTCAGTTTTTACCCCAACAGGGAGACTTTGTGTGCACACTGGTCTTTCCAAGTGCCTTCAGGGAGGAGGAGACAGATGGCTGGAATCACCAGGCTTTTCTTGCTGGAGACGGGTAGAAGGCAGAAAGAAAAGAATTTGGACAAAGAAGTGGTTGAGGTGATGTGGCTTGTGCGGCAGTGAGAAGCATAGGTGCCCGCAGTCTTCTCTGAGGGGAGAGGTAATAGGATGAGAAAGATATGCAGGGCATTTTGTGCAGAGAATCAAGTTTCTTTTTTCTTTCTTGTTCTTTTTTGGTTTTGTTTTGGTTTTTTGTTTTGTTTTGTCTGTTTGCTGGGATTTGAACCCAGGGCCCTTGTGCATGCCAAGCAAACTCTGTACCATCCCAGAAGAGGTGAGGCTGATTTCAGTGGTGAAGGTCGTAATCCATGGCTGTGTGTGCTGGTGTGGGTGCAGAGGGTGTTGGAGAGAGGCACTTGTGTCCTAAGGGGAGCATCCTCTTAGACAGAGAGTCCTCCTGAGTGAGGCCAGCCTCCATGGTGAAAGGAAGATCAATAGCCTGAGGCCAGAGAATTCAATGAGTGAGGGCTTGAGCAGTTGTGCCTGGTGACACATCAGTTGGGGACAGTGGATATGGTTTCCCACTTGAGGCCAATCAGGGAGCTTCTACCACATGGCCCGGAAGTTTGACCTACGTGAGGTAGAGGCCAAGGATTGGGCAACTTGCTGCTCAGAGAAAATGCCAAAAACAAAACTCAGAATTGTCCTCAGTGAGCAGGAGAGACACGGCCTCTGACCTGCTTCCCTCTTATTTCCACAGAGGCCAGCCTGTAGAGAGCTGTGGAATCCAGAGAGTAGCTTCCTGCAGGACTTCCACAGGACTCCAGTGCCCTGTTGTCCAGGAAATTGACTCCTTCTCACAGGATGGCAGCTCTTGGCCTGTCTCCCACATTTGGTAAGTTCTGGGGTCAACTCATGCCCTTGGGTATGGAGTGTAAGTGTACCCTGCAGCTCCATTGAGATAAAGGGGACATGCACCCACAGGGAGGGCTGCCAGGGGAGGGAGGGCTGCCAGGGGAGGATGGGCGAGTTGAAGAATGATGGGAGCCGTCCACTGACTGTGTCTGATTCAGGGTTTTCGGGGATTGGGGAGAGGGGAGAGTGGATATTTGGTTGGTGTGTGGTGGACGGGGGATCGTGTACTATCCATTTGTTATTTTAATAAAATTAGAGCAAAGTAATAGCTCCATCTCTCGCATTTCAATTCTTCACTCAGAAATTGAAACTTTGTACAAATTGAACATCCCTAAGTAAAACATTCAGAGTGCTCCAAAATCTAAATCTTTTTGACTGCTAGCACGATGCCACAAGTGGGAAAACTCCACTTAAAACTCGGGCATACCAGCTGGGTGTGGTCGTGCATTCTAATAATCCCAGCTCTGGAGCCTGGGAATTCCAAGTTTGAGGCCAGCCTGGGCAACTTGATAAGACCCTGTCTTAAAATAAAGAGGGCTGGGGATGCAGCTCAGTGGTAGAGGGTTTGGCTTAATGCCCAGTACTGGGGTGGGGGCATTCAGACACACTAAAAGTATTCTATGAGATTACCTTCAGGGTCCTTGTATGTTTATGAAACATAAATGAATTTTGTGTTTGGATTTGGTCCCCATCTCAAGATGCCTCATTATGTATGTGCAAACATTCTAACACCCGCCTCCTCCCACCACCAATGTGAAACACTTCTGGCCCGAGGCATTGGGGCTATGAAATACTCAGCCTGTGTGTTGCATCCTACTGGTAGGTAGGCCTGGCACCCCTCTCTGTCTTTGAGAGGTGCAGGGCTGCTGTGGTTCACAAATGGGGTGTTGGTGGTGTGTTGTTTGGGTGGGGACACTAGTGGGAGACACGGGATTCTCATGGAGCTTCTTTTCTCCTGTAGCTGTGTCCACCCAGAACCCTGCTTTTCTCCAAGAGTCAGAATTTCCTCTGTCTTCAAAACACCATTCCTGTCCCCAGAATTTAGACCTGTTTGCTTCCCGTGGTCTGGAGCCTCCTACACCACCCAGTGTTTCTTCTCAGGTATACAAGGTCTCGGGGCCCTGAGGGGTAGAGATGTTTTCTAGAATACCTTCATCGTTGCACATTAAATGTTTTCAGATCCTCCTTACTCTGGCAGATGCCTGACCAGGACCCCAGAAATAGCCAGGGAAGGGCAAACTCTTGTCCTAGTATCAGGGAAGTCACAGGAAGTGATTTATGTAGCAAGAATTTCTCTCCTGCTTGCAGAGTACTCAGACCTACCCATGCTCAATCCTAGATATGGCTGGGGCTGGGGGTAAAGCTAGGCTGGATAGTGTGTAAAGAGGTCTCATTAGTTCACAGTACTGGAGACTCGGTGCCTCGCAGAATTGTATTTGAAGCAGAGAGATAGAATAAGATCACCTCATGGGGAAGAGACGATGTTTGAGAGCACACCAGCTGGAAGTCCAGTCTTCAGCCTCCTCCATCTTCCTGTGAACTCTGACAGGCTTCTTACCCCAGGTGTGTGTGGTGTTTCAGGAATCCGTGACTTTCCAGGATGTAGCTGTGGACTTCACTGAGAAAGAGTGGCCCCTGCTGGATTCTTCTCAGAGAAAGCTGTACAAGGATGTGATGCTGGAGAACTATAGCAACCTCACTTCACTAGGTAACCCTGGCCACATTCAGAATTCATTCTTACCAAAACCAGATGTTTTTGTTCAAGTATTTTCAGTGACTCAGAAACTAGGCAGGGGTTTGAAACACGACTGAATGAGCAGAACCAGTACCCACCCGCATGGTGTCTCCCAGAGATTTTGAACCCTGATTGTTGCATTGATTTTGGAGACACCCACGTTTGTGTTCTGAGCTTGGACATGGGCTCCTGGGATAAGAAATCCCCATTCTTTTGGAGAGAAAATGTGTGGGTATGGTTTCATTTGTTTTTGTTTTTAAAGATTCACTGTGTTCTTAGAAATGAGGCACCATCATTTTGTTACTCTTAAGTCAGACTCCACCTTCAGAACCCTGAAGATCAAAATGTTGGCCGCAGTCTAATGGAAGGGTTGTCCTCTGCACAGTCCTCCCTCAACATGTCTTTCCCTGTGAGTAGGGTATCAGGTTGGCAAACCCAGCCTCATCTCACACTTGGAGCAAGAAGAAGAGCCGAGGACAGAGGAGAGGGGCAGTCAGCACGGCACCTGTCCAGGTGAGCAAGCATGAGGGTAAATAGGAGTGCTTTAGACTGTCCACTCTAGGCAGCGACTGGAGTGAGGGAGTGCGTGGGCCATTTCCTGTTTCTAGAAAAATGTCCGAGGCTGGGTAGTGTGTAAAGAAGAGGTCTCGTTAATTCACAGTACTGGAGACTCATCATCCTGGAAAGAGTCGTTCCTCCCAACACATGCACATTTTACTGTGTCACAGTTTGGCAGATGGCATCTCAGAGGGAGTGTATTTTAGAAGGAAAGATCCTATGGTAAGACAGAAAGCAAGATACTGAGGAAGGGCCAATCTCACTGATTTCCTAACAGCCCACTTTTATCAGAACTAATTCATCCAGGAGAACAGTATCTCTCCATCTGAGCAGGCCCTACTATATCTTCAGAGTTCCACCACCTTTATATGACCACACTGAGGACCAGACCTCCAGCACATAAGCCTTTGGGGGACAGATGACTTCCATACTTTAGCAGGGAGGTCTATTAGGTAATGTCACCTGAGGAAATTAGAAAATGCTGTCTTTATTTTTACTGGCCATTCATTCTCACACAAGTCCTTGGTTCTCTATGCCTCTTTGTTTATTGAGGTGCTAGGGATTAAATCTAGGGGTACTTTACGACTGAGACAAGGGCTCACTAAGTTGCTTAGGGCCTTGCCAAGTTGCTTAAGGCTGGCTTTGAACTTGCAGTCCTCATGCCTCGGCCTCCCAAGTTGCTGAGATTACAGGTGTGCGCCACCATGGCCAGCTTGCCCTGTTTAATTTAATGTTTCTGTGTTGTCTGTCTGTCTCATTTTTTTATGCTTGGCCTTCCTGATCATGCACTATTTGAATATCTATCTGAAGTGACTTAAATTTATCCTGCCATCATTTCTAAACAGCTCACGTAGCCACATTTTCAATAATTATTTTGCTATTGTGTGTTCTTCCCTTTTGCATTTTCTTGTGTACAGGTAGTATTTGCAAAGTCTGCCTGTTTTGTCACCGTCATTTTATTTTTTCTTCAAGTTAGTATTTTGCTAATTTTATTTCAGATTGGGAGACTCCATCTAAGACGAAGTGGTCAATCCTCATGGAAGATATTTTTGGGAAGGAAACATCCAGTGGTGTGACAATGGTAAGATTTACCTGAGATAATTCTGGATCCTCCCCATTAGAGAAGCCTCGGGCAGCTGGAGTTGGCAAAGCTGCTTAAGAAGGAGACCTGTGGAACAGTTCCAGGTCTCCTATGGAGACCAAAATCTGCGGATGCTCAAGTCTTTTATATAAAATGACATAGTATTTGCATGGAACTACACACATCCTCCCGTATACTTTAAATTATCTCTAGATTGTCTTTAATAACCAAAGTAGTAAAAATGATACTTAAATATTCATTTTACTGTGTTATTTAAGGAATATGAAAAGAAAAATGTATATGTACTTAATACAGATGCAATTTTTTTTTTTTTAATTTGGAGAAAAATCCTAAATTTAACCTCAGACTTACTCAAGAATTTTGATGGATAAATATTTTTTATAACTTGCTGGGCACAGTGGCACACACCTGTAATCCCCACAACTTTGGAGGCTGAGGCTAGAGATGGCAAGTTTGAGGCCAACCTTAGCAATTTAGCAAGGCCCAGTCTCAAAATAAAAAATAAGAAGAGCTAAGGATGTAGCTCAGAGGTAAAGTACCCTTGAGTTTAATTCCTAGAACAAAAAAAAAAAAAAGAAAACCACCCAAAATACAAAATCCATAACTTATCTTAGATGTTGAGTATTTGAGCTCAATTTGGTTGTGTGTGTGAGGGTTTGTTTGTTTGTATTGCTGGGGATTGACCCTAGCAGCTTGCGTATGCTGGGCAAGTGCTGTTATCACTGAACTACATCCCAACCCTTTTTACATTTTATTTGGAGACAGAGTCTCACTGAGTTGTCAAGGCAGACCTCAAACTTGGGGTACCACTGCCTCAGCTTCTAGAGTAGCTAGCTGAGATTACAGATTTACAGATGTGTATTGCCGTGTTTAGCTTAATTTGGTTTTAAAGAGTAGACAAGCTGCAAAAAATGCTTTGTAAAAGTAGCACACATGGAGCCTTATGGTATAGCATTTGCCTTTCCTCTTGGATAGAGTTCCAGTGAGACAGGAACAGCATATTTGCACTGCGGATTATGGCATCTTCAGTCACAGTGGTGAGCATCTATCTTTGAATGTTTAGGCTGAAAGGGGCTGGGGTACAGCTCAGTGGAGGAGCACGAGCTTAGCATGCATGAGGCCATGGGTTCGATCCCCAGCACCAAAAGAAAAAAGAGGAAGAAGAATGCAGTGTTTGTGGAAAATGACCTAGTCAGCTCTCCTCTCTTAACCAACAGGAAAGAGCTCATCTTGGGGAGAAATCCACTGAATACGCCCACTTGTTTGAAGTCTTCAGCATGGGTGCTCATCTTACTCAGCCAATGGGGAGACACCCCGGCAAGAGGCCCTACCATCGCCACCATTGTGGGGCAGCCTTCAAGAGCAGGACACCTCTCACTCAGCACGTGAACGTGTATGATGGGAGGAAGATGCACGAGTGCCAGCAGTGCCAGAAGGCCTTCACCACGAGCGCCTCCCTCACCCGACACAGGAGGATCCACACTGGGGAGAAGCCCTATGGCTGCAGCGACTGTGGGAAGGCCTTCAACGACCCCTCTGCCCTCAGGAGCCATGCACGGACACACCTCAAAGAGAAGCCCTTCGACTGTAGTCAGTGTGGGAACGCCTTCCGCACCCTCTCGGCCCTGAAGATCCACATGAGGGTCCACACTGGCGAGAGACCCTACAAGTGTGATGAGTGTGGCAAGGCCTACGGCAGGAGCTGCCACCTCATTGCGCACAAGCGAACACACACTGGGGAGCGGCCCTATGAGTGTCAGGACTGTGGGAAAGCTTTCCAACACCCCTCACACCTGAAGGAACACGTCAGGAATCACACCGGGGAGAAGCCCTACGAGTGCACACAGTGTGGCAAAGCCTTCCGCTGGAAGTCTAACTTTAATTTGCACAAGAAAAACCATATGGTGCAGAAAACCTATGAATGCAAAGAATGTGGGAAATCCTTTGGTGACCTCTTGTCACGGAGGAAACACATGAGAATCCATATTGTGAAGAAACCAGTGGAATGTCGCCAGTGTGGGAAGGCCTTCCGAAACCAGTCCATCCTGAAGACACACATGAATTCTCACACAGGAGAGAAGCCCTACGGGTGCGATCTCTGTGGGAAAGCCTTCAGCGCCAGCTCCAACCTCACCGCACACAGGAAGATCCACACTCAAGAGAGACGCTATGAATGCGCAGCCTGTGGGAAGATCTTTGGTGATTATCTGTCACGGAGGAGGCACATGAGCATCCATCTGGTAAAGAAGCGTGTAGAGTGTCGGCAGTGCGGGAAAGCCTTCAGGAACCAGTCCACCCTGAAGACCCACATGAGGAGCCACACAGGAGAGAAGCCTTACGAGTGCGACCACTGCGGGAAGGCCTTCAGCATAGGCTCCAACCTCAACGTGCACAGGAGGATTCACACCGGGGAGAAGCCCTACGAGTGCCTTGCCTGCGGGAAGGCCTTCAGCGACCACTCATCCCTCAGGAGCCATGTGAAGACACATCGGGGAGAGAAGCTCTTCCCGGCCTCAGTGTGGAAGAGGCTCCAGTGAGCACTCCAGTAGGTGACGGGAACACTCGGACCAGAAAGGAACCTTCAGATGTGAGGGAGAAGCTCTCACCTTACAGAGCACAAAAGGAACGTAGGCGAAATCCAGTTGGCGTGAAGCCTGTGAGAAGACAAGTTGTTTCTCATCAGTTGGGAGAACAACACCGTGGGGGGATGTATCTGGTGTGGAAAAGCCTTCAGTGTACATCTAGTTTGTAAACATATGAGAACTTAGGGGAGAGGCCCAGCTTGGCATTTAATGTCAAGATACTTCAGCAGGCTGGACTGCGGCCCTATGGTAGAGTGCTTGCCTAGCATGCATGAGGCCCTGGGTTCCATCCCCACCAAAAAAAAAAAAAAAAAAGAAATAATTTCAGCAACACTTTCTCAACCTTTTGGACACATTAGGGAGAATTTTTGTCAGTGCAGTGATGGGGGAAATCTTTTCATTCTCACACTGAAGAGAAAAATCTATGGGGTGAGGAATGTGGGAAGTCCATAAAAGGGGTGAGCAAACTAACCAGCTGTCTGTGTTTGTATGGTTCATAAGCTAAGAATAGTTGTTCCATTTTAAGAGGAGAGTTTGTGCAGAGACCCTCTGTGGCCCTCAAAGCCTGAAATGCTTGCTATTTATAGAAAAGCTTTGCTGAGCCTTGGTCCACAGCAGTGGTCCTCAACAGGTAGGGGTTTTGTTCCCCAGGGGACATTTTTGGTTGTTACTGGGGGAGGAGCCACTGACAGGTAGTGGGAAGACATTAGGATGGTGCCAAGCATCCTACAGTGCCCAGGAGCCCCTGCCTCCCCCACCCCACTTCAAAGAATTGTGTGCCCTACAATAACAGTACGCTGAGGTTAAGAATAATTGTACTTAACGTTGGCACCAAACTAGAAGAAATTTCTTTTTAATTTTTTTTTTTAATTAACATGGTTCTTTGAAGAAATTTGTAAGAACTTAACATTGCTGATAATCCCTATGTGTCCCCTCACTAGTGCAAATGAGAAGCTTTGATGGTATTCTCCAGTGAACGCAGGATTGCACTTCTCAGTCCTTCATCATGAAAACAGGCCCTAGCTCATGAATTTCTAGTCTTTATTTTTAAGGTTATGCTCCTCTAAATAACCATTAGGCCTCATCACAAAAGGTTTGTATATAGTATTTTTACTGTAGCTTCATTCTTAAAATATCTAATTTCCTTTTGGACAACTTTCTTGACCAATGGCATATTTAGAATTGTGTTACATACTGGGTGCAAAGGTATTTTATAGTACCTATTACTGGTATCTGATTTCAGATGCATTGTGATCAAAGCATGAAGTCTTCATTATATGGATCCTTTGGTATGTTTGTGGCCTGCTGTCCAGCCAAGAATGGCATAGACTTCTAGTTGCATCCACTGTCATCTTCTATATCAAAAGAATTCAAATCTCATATTCGTAAGGTGTGCTATTTTTTAATGTCTCTTAAACAGATTTTCTTGCAGTTGGTACTTTCTGCATCCCATAACCTTGGCCATTGACAAATAAGCAGAGGCCACTGTATGGGTTTCTGAGAAAAAGCTCTTGAAAAATAGTCCTTCTTACCTAGATTCTTCTCTCCACATTTGGTTCTTTTCTCCCTACGTCGCACCTTGCAAGGAAATTCAGCTCCTAGTGTTGAAAGATTTGTGGTTGTGAAGACAAAAGCCAGTCTAAGGAGGATGCTGCAGCAAAGTCACAGTGAGCAGGGCTTCCCTGTGGCCTCCGAGTGTCTGTGCCAGCCCTGGGTTTGTTAATTCCAGACCTCCTATTACATGAGAAGAAATAAAACTGATTACTGGCTTATGACGCTATGAATATTATTTTTGTTTGCTTTATTTCTTGGTGGGAAGATGCACTTGGTATTTGGTGAGTTTTGATAACTTCTACTTTTGTATGTGGGTATAATGTGTATATTTTGAATTATTGGATAAAGGTTTTTGAATTCTTTAAACTAGATTTCAAAGTTATATTTTAAGTATTTGATGTACTTAGACATTTATTTTCTTGACTTATTTTTTGATAGAAGTCCACAGATGTTCCTTCGCTTACTGTTCAGGTATGTCCTGATAAACCCATCATAAAGTCAAAAAGCCCTAAGTCAAACCATTCTAAGTCAGGGACTGCTGCTAGTTTTCACAAAAGTCCAAGGAAGCAAGTGTTGTCGGCATCTTCATTTTGCACAGGGGAAATCTCAGACAAAAGATTCTTGGTTGCTTATTTGAAGCCAGCCTATTGGCAGGCAGTAGTGCTTGGATTTCAACCCTGGGTCTGGCTCTAGAGTCCATGCCTCTTACCTCAGCCATTGGTCTGAGATGCCCAGGGTTGGTATGGGGATTCTTGCCCTCTGGTGCTTATGTTTTAGGTGGGATTGGGACATCTGATAAGTAAGGATGTTGTGCATCAGGTGTGGCAAATATAGCAGGAGGAAGCATTAAGCATGGTGATGACAAGAGTGGAGCCGTTGGGTGGGTAAGGAAGGCTTTTCACTTAAAGGGACGTTTGAGCAGAGGTATGCTGAGGGCATATGACAGTGTAATCTGGGGATGAGAACTCTTGGAGGTTCAAAAGTGACATACAACACTGCTTGGGCCAGCCTTGCAACAGTAGAGGTGTCAGTGGGATGAGTGGAGCAAGTTTGGGCCTCACGATTGATGAGGTCAGAGCTGTACGCTGGGAACAAATCACGGAGTGTTTTGTGAGTGAACTGGAAGAACTTTTCCTTCTATTCTCAGTGTGGCAGGTAGTCAGTGGAGGGTTTTGAACAGAGGAGTGATCATTACCTGGTTTATATTTTCAGAAGGATGACTGGACCAAGGTACACACCAAAAGCCAGCTGGAAGGCCATTGCAGAATTCAAGTTAGGTGCAGTGGTGGCCAGATTATTGGTAGTGGGGGTGGTTTATCAGTGAATCAGGATGAAAAGAGCTGTGTTTTCAATTTTACTATGAGATAGTGGTCCCCTGTTTTATATCAATTTATTTCCTCTTCTGCTGATGGTACAATTAGTTGTTTCCATCTTTCCATGTTATGGATAATGCTGCTACACGATATCTTGTGCATACCTTTTGGAGCATTACTTTCTCTAGGAATGTGAAATTTCCAGGTTGTATTAGTAAGTATCGAGGTAATTTGTGTGGTGGTTATAACACCTGTGTTTAAAAAGAGGTTTTATTTATTTATTTATTTTTTTAAAGAGAGAGAGAGAATTTATTTATTTATTTTTTTGGCAGACACAACATCTTTGTTTGTACGTGGTGCTGAGGATCGAACCCAGGCCGCACGCATGCCAGGCGAGCGTGCTACCACTTGAGCCACCTCCCCAGCCCCAAAAAGAGGTTATTGAAATGTGACATAAACATTAAAAAAGGTGCTTAGTTAATGAGTGGACAGTTCTGTTGGTTATCACAAGAACACATCCTTAAAACCACCAAGTCAAGAAAAAAGGATTAACATTTCATAAAACCCCTCTTGTCCTCTCCAATTAAAACATTATGTAGTTTCCCTTGGGTATTTAATCGTTCATCGGAAGTAATATTTTTTATGCCATTACATCTTCTATTCAATTTGTGTATATGAAAACTGCTGATTTTATGTCTTAATTTTATAACCTTCTGCTTCACTGAATTATTTTTTTTAGTTTTATCATTGCTTTTCTGAGTTTTTTCAAGTATACTACGCAGCAAATTGAGATAGCTTTACTTGTGTACCCATTCTTAGTCTCTGGTTTTGCTTGTCTGATTGCATTGGCCAGTACTTCTAATACAGAGATGTATTAGAAGATCTTTACCTTTACTGTAGATGAAATGACTCAAATGTTTTTTTCTTAAGATATTATCTTGTAGAAGTTAGGTAATGAACAATCCCCCACACTTTCCACTTCTTATTCTTCGTTTTTTCACCAGCTTTCTGAGAGCTCTGTCTCAGATACTTAAGACATAAAGTCTCAGGTACCGACAGCAGCCAGATACATGTGACATCATCACAAAGTGGTATTCCAGCCCATGGGAGCCCAAGCTTCACACTGGGGAGGCTAAGAATGGGCTTGGAGAACCATCAAGGATCTCAAACTGTACACACAGATCTTGTTGCTGTGGACTGTGTTCACTCCCTTGTATAGGATCTGCCAATCAACTCACCCCACCGTGGAGAAGCAGCAGCAGCTGATTTAATACAGCCTATGATTATCCTAGGTGTTTAAAGGGTGGGGGCTCACAGGGGTGGACTCTGACTTCGAGGCCAAATTTGTTTCTTCTGCTCTTGCTTGGTTCCTTTGAAGGCCTCTCCCTCCCTCCCTCCCACCTAGGGCTTACCACTGAGCTACATCCCCTGTCCCTGCAGCCTTCTGCCTTCTCCCATTTCCACATTGCCATTTTTTGAGTTTCCTTAGCTCACTGCTTGGCTTCACAGTCTTGTTCTGCCTGCCTAGGCGTCATTCCTCACCCAAATTCCTAGGGGAATGCATCAAACACTGCTTAATATTTGTGTGTGGGGACAGGCTGTGGGATTTAAGAGTAGAGTGGCCAAGAAAACACATGGGCCCTTGGGTTTTCAGCAGTTTGCCTCAGAAAGATTTGTGCATCATGCTGACTTACTTTCTCCTTTGTACAAAGTCTTGGGAGTCTTATCAAGTGTATGTCTAAGCTTGTTTCTTGGTCGGAGATTTCCCCGGTCCTTTTGATGCTGTGAATGACTGTGTTTCTTGGGAAGACCCCAGAGTTCCTTTGGTGGTAGGACACAGCATACTTGGAGACCCTGTTATGTTGACCTATTTGTTTACATCCTTTAGTTAAACAACTACTTTTATCAACCACATTAAAAATTCTTTGTAATTAAATTCTTGCATACACTGGGAATGAACCTCTGTGGTATCCTCAGAATCCACCACAGGTTGCAAAGGTCTGAGGGGAAAAAATTGCTGACATGTACTATGTAGTTAGCCTTACTGTGGTTGTGTTCATACTGAACATGTACAGATTCTTTTTCTTGTCATTCCCTAAAGAATACAGTATAATTACTATTTATGTAGCATTTACATAATTAATATTAAAAGCCATCTAGAAATAATTTGAGCACTTGCCTCATATATATGAGACACTGGGTTCAATTTCCTAGCATCACATAAAGTCCATCAACAACTAAAAAATATATTTAAAATGTATATATATGGGAGGGATGTGCCTATGTTCTATGCAAATATGAGGCCATTTCGAATGAGGGACTTGAGCACCTGAGGATTTTGGTATTTGCAGAGGATTCTGAAAGCAGTCCCCCACAGATATTTGAGGGATGACACTTATTTTCTGCTTTTTCCAGGTATTCATAGGCACTTGCTGTGCACACAGGTCACATTCACATACATCTGCATGGCACTGTTGGAGCAAGAGGACACTCAGATGTACAGCAACCTGGTGGTCAGTACTGTTGAGGAAGGGTGTGGGCTCAACCCATGAACCCTGTGCTGTGCATAGTACACAGTCATGTTTGGTTGCTTGATCTTTTCAGGAAATATGGTCTTCTCAGAAATCCTCTGGAGGCAATTGCCTCTCAGCCTCCCAGTCTCCAAGAACAGGCAGGAAGTAAAAGTAAGAAGCAGGTTGGCAACGTCTACTGAGGATCACATAGTGCTTTCTTTCTGCTCTGATAGCAATTCCTGTTGGCTCTATAAGGCCCTGTATTACTGTATTTATTCGGTTTTCATGTTGCAAGAATTGAAAAATGGTTGCTCAGTCAGAGAGCACTTGCTTCTCCCTGACTTTTTCATGCCTGTGTCAGGCGATCCATCAGTGGGGCTCAGGGGACCTGATGGACAGCTGCATGACCACAGGGCTTTCAAGTCTTCCTTTGGCCACCTGTAGCCCCAGATCCCTTCCTCTGCACTTGCAATCTTCCGCACAGTTCCTTGGATGTGGTCCAGGGCAGTTGCGCATCCCCAAGTGGCAGTGCTGAATGTTCAGTGGTTTTGTCAAAAGTTTTCATAGCTCATTAGTAACATTAGCAATCACTTGCTGGCTTTTGCCTAGGATTGGAAAAAAAGGATGCGTACCACAGAGGCCATACCGCAGGGGACAACACTTAGCCTGGAGTAAAGTGGTGCCATTTCTGTAATTAGAAGCTTTGGGAATCTAGCAAAACTGTTCCCTCTGTGCCCAATTTTTCTATCACATAAGTTAGCTGCAGGAAGAAGTAATGAATTCCAGTGGGATTCATTAGTAAAGTGGCCCAGGGCTCTTGCTTCTCATTGCACTTCCCTGCCAGCACTCAGGACAAGGGATCTTGCTCTCTGGAGGGGACTTTTAATTAACCCAATCATCTTGTCTCATTTTCAGTTCCTGGAGCCACTCCAGCAAGGCCGTCTCTGTCTCGTGTAACATTTAAAGAAGTTTCAATTCATCAAAATATTTTCCTCTGTGGGAAACCTATGTATACATCATGAGTTTCATGGTGTTCCTTATACTTAGGTATTGGGAAGAAAGAGATCAATAAGACATGTTCTTGTCCTTAACCAAGTAAGGGTCTGGGAGCAGAAGTGAACAATAACAGCTATTAGGGCTAGTCCATTCAGGAGACCCCAAGAAGGGGATGTTGAGTGGGGACAATCAGCATGTAGAAAAGGTGATACAAGCTAAGTGAGAGGCTTATTAAGAGATTCAGGAACAGAATTTAGTGGTTATGTCAATCCTGAATGCAGAGGCCCAGAAAAAAATGACTTCATCAGGTTCTTGAGATAAAAGGATCATTGGAGTAGGAGATAAAGCTGGAGGGTTAAGACAGGATAGTTCATATACAGCATGCACCAAGGATACATGTGTCACTTAACATT